TATATATATATATATATATATATATATATATATATATATATATATATATATATATAATATAAAAAGCTATTCATGACTTAAGGCAACAGATGAAAACATTTTTGGGGGCTAGTCCCCATTTTTTTCCGGAATATGCACAGGACACGCTATTAGATAAGCCATACCCATAACTAATATTTCACTTTTTTGTTTTAGGTTTTATTAGCAGTGATAAGGAGACACACTTTACAAAACCATTTTCTCTTTGTTCGTTAGGCTTGTGTCTTGGGCAGTTTCTCTTGAACCTTCTGTTCAGCCATTGTTTACTTAAGACAGGATTAGACTATATTCAGATTTTTCGGTCCCATGTCAGAAAATCTGCTTTTACTCTGATTTGTATTAGCCATACATCAAGGTAGGTTTACTGTTGAATTCAGGAATCCAATGAAAATACACATAATAATTTCATAAAAACTTAAGAAAGACCTGCCTGGGGGAATTTCTATAGTAGCGTGATTTAACAGAATTGCTTTCTGAAAAATATACAATAAACACTTGAATCCAATTACAACTTTTCTGCATCAAAGCCTGTCACATTGTCTCAAACAAAAAAAAAAATACTGTCCATGTTACTGATTAACCGTGAAAAAAAAGCAGAAAGAGTTTATCACGTCTTGCAGCTGATTCTTTGTCATGAACTTCCCATTAGGTGCAACTGCAAAATCATTTATCTGTGATTGAAATGACATCATAAACAGAACCACGAGCAATAATCATGGAGTACTCACGAGGTAGTACTGTTAGTTATACCTGCAAAGTCTTCAAATATGTGAAAGACCAATGAGACTGCGGCTACGCCTATGTCAGCGATTTTGTGCAGTATGAGGCTATTTCCACTTCGGTGTTAGCTTAATTACTCAGACCTATGGAATGGAGAAGCTCGTAGTGTGAAGGGTTAAAGAGGAGGTGTGTAGAGTTCACAGTACAGTCAGATGATTCAGGTTGTGTGAGACGTTTTGATTGGCTCTCCAACACAGTAAGCACACATTGAAATGGAAGAAGGCAAGCTGGATGTTCACGGAGACAGGCTATTGTTGCTCAACTACATGTGTGAGGCAGCCATATTTCATCACCAAAGACACCCTCTCAGGAAAAGCTTTTCCCCAGCCGGCAATGACAAAAGGCTTGGGGACCCACCTTTTGACAACTATGGGAGTGAATGAAAAAACACAATTTGAGATAAGTCTGACTGTAAGGGTCAGACGTGTAGTGTCGTTATCACTGTGCATGCTGCCCTCCCTCCAATCAATAAAGTGTCTTAGTGCTCCGTCATGCATCCCACATCGATCCCCTACATCTTAATCACCCTTGACTCTGTGTGCGTAGGCATACTTACTTATATAAACAGCACCGCACGATAAGGGCTAACATCAGATTTGTAATCTGCTGTCTCAAATATGAATCAGTTGATTAATAGGACCAGCTGGCATTTTGCAGGCGCCACTGATGTCCAGGGACTATCTGAGTTGGGTTTAGTCATGTTTGACCCCCTGCCTAGAAACATGAACACAAGCATTACAAATAGGCCATCAACCCACTGCTATCAGACCCATAACTGAATGCCGGTTTAGAAATGAGCTAGTAATGTACAAGTGTGCTTTCAATGGATGACAAATCTACTGATATATCAGAGCGGACTAGTCTGAACCCACCACTCCCTGACAGAAGAGAAATAGAGACCGATCGGTTCTTGCTAACTAGTCTTAGCCATTAGGAATAATTGATCTTTTCTTCATTGTGAACTCTCCACTTGCAGCGTATACTTCCTCTTTGGCGCGGTGACAAATACAGGTGAATTTCAACTGATAGTGAAGGTTCTCATTTTGTGACATTTTTTCAGCATTGAATGGTGCGAACATTGATGGTCCTCAAATGATTGATTTAACGGGCAAAACCACAGGAAATCCATTTCACAATCTAAGCACAAGCACATGGAGAGTTCTGTAAGCTGAATGTGTTCAAATACTGTAACCAAATCAAAGTATGGAAAGTCTTATGTTCCAGTCTTCATCTTATGTCCGATAGCTGCTGACTCCGAGTATCTCTATTAACCCGTATGCCTGCAGGAGGGAAGACCAGGACAAAGGATAAATACAGAGTGGTATACACAGATCACCAACGTCTGGAGCTTGAAAAAGAGTTCCACTACAGTCGTTACATCACCATCAGGAGGAAGGCTGAGCTCGCCACCTCTCTCAGCCTCTCGGAGCGGCAGGTGAGTCTCCGTCACCTTGAACATAGCTCCGCTAACACATGTACGCACACCCTCTGATAGACGCTAATGTTATTTCGTAAAAAAGCCTGGTATCTGCCACGTTAGCAGCACAACGTTATTAGGTTATTACCTGACGGTTGGAATCATTTTGGCACTTAATACAAAAAATGTAAACCATTCGTAAGGGCAATTTTATGTAGTGTCATTCTAAATCCCAACCAAAACGCGATGTTGGTTCCATGGTGTAGGTGAAGATCTGGTTCCAGAATCGACGCGCCAAAGAGAGAAAAGTGAACAAAAAGAAGATGCAGCAATCCCAGCAGGCCTCCACGACAACCCCCACCCCCCCCTCCATAGGCACTCCCAGCATGGTGACCAGCAGCAGCGGCCTGGTGTCGCCGTCAATCCCAATGACTATTAAGGAGGAGTACTGACAAAGCAGAGGAACGGGCAGGACAGCTTCTGACAGCAACAAACTCCGGGCTTCAGTCAGAGGGAGCAGCTTCAGGCTCAACATAACAGACAAAGGAAAATCTGAGCATCGAATCTCTGTCCAGATCACTGCCTTTTTCTGGACAAAAAAAACAAAACAGATTAAAAAGAGATATTTTATATATTAAGTATTTTCCGTATCTATTAAAATTTCAACTAATATGGAGTGCTGTTCAGTTGTTATTGTTGCTACTTAGCTGAAGCATTTGTGTCAAATGTGTAATCTTTAACAACCAGCACAGTGGGAATATTTTTTGTAGACAACTTTTAATATTGTGCTTGTTTTTTTGATATGTTTATATGTTTCTACAGAGAGTGTTGACATATTGCCAAGTGAGACTGTGAATAAGCAGAATCAAAGTAAATAAAGCGCAACTTCATCCTCATTGTTCAATGCCTGGTTTCTTGCCTCTGGTGAGAGGCCTGTTTCTCACAGAAAGGAAGCCTGGAGATGAATAAATTCTATATCTTAGTAGGTGAAATAGCTGTAAAGCAGGACGATTGGAAAGATCCCCTCTAGTGCTGGGACAGACCTTTGGTCTCTACACTGTCACCTGACATTGAGCTAAACTCATCTGTGCATGGTCCTGCTAAGGAACTTCCTGCCGAATACAAATGCAGAAGTGTCGTACAATCATCGCTAAATCATGGGTCTGTATGGCATTACATCTCAGAAAGGGAATAATGAGATTCAGCGTAATGTGAAGTACCATAAAAAATACTCCACATAAAAAAAATTTCATTCACCATGGTTTTTAAGTAAATAATTGACAGTGTCATTATTGGTTGCTGCTTTATCCGCTGGTCTGTAATAATTATTTTAAAACAGCAGCCTGAAGCAATGAGCAAACAAGGATATTTTTACTGGCAGTATTAAAACCGACTGTGCATGAAGTAGCATTTCCGTGGGTTGAGGAGAGACGGTAGATGCGGGGAGCCGTCGCTGTTTGTATAGCAAAACGAGACGCCACCATAGTGAGTGATAATTGCATTCAGGAGAATAGAGGAGCCGTGTTAAGGTGCCTTATCAGGACGCTGTGTGGTGTGGGCAGCGGGTTGGCCCGGGAGTCAGCCACATTGCACGCAAAAACCTATTTGCCAATCTTGTTAACAAACTAGGGGCGCGACGGGCAAAGGGCAGCGCAAAGCCTGAGCAAACAAGAGGGACTGATCCTTCTGCTGGAGCATCTTGCTGAGCAGGGAGGGGCAGCAATAAGAGGACTGGGGCAGGAGAGCACAAGGTGTGCTTTGGGGGGGGACCTTCCCCCCCGATGGCCTGGACAGGAAGCCCCATGGGGTTCAAGGACAAGTTCAAACCAGCACATTATGGGGGAGAAGGATGTTGTCGTGTAATAGCTCTCCTAGGACTCTGTTCACCAGCTCAAAATAATCCTTGCATTCTATGTCGAAGTAAGGACAATCACCAATAACCTGAACTGTCTTCTCTTTTCAAATTTTGCCTCTCCATTATTGCTTCCTTTCAGTGAGAAATGACCTAAAATGCAAACAGACCTGATGCCTTCGGGAGTTCAATCTCATTTTATGGAACATGAGGTCAGAAATGGACAAACGGTTACAACTAAAGTATCGTATTATTCCGAACCCATTATTTGAAGCTGAAGTCTTCAAAGCACATTTCTGGTTATTGTTCCATGGTGGCATTTTTTTCCTGTTGCCCTTCAGCCCTCATGTAAAGCCTTTTAACGAGCACAATCATGTAATCATCTCTCCCCACCTCAGTCCAGCCTTAACCCCTCCTGCATCGATCTTGCACTTTGGCACCTCACAGATATGAGAAGGACAACGTATTTTGTCTCCCATTGCTTTCATTTCTCTCACAAAACGTCTTATTTTCCTTACTTGAGCCTGCAATAAAATGTGTTTCTTTAAAAAAAGCACAGAACACATCTTGTAGCATCACATTATGTAATAACTTTCAATTCATTATGTAATAGCACCTGCATTTTGTAATAATCTGCCACATTTTGTAATGGCTTGAACACAATATGTAACAAACATTTTGTAATAAATTATTACATATTGCAGTGGTTTTTACAAAGGTCCCATTTGAGGTGGTCATCTGGCAGGTAGGAACTGTAACTCCCTTTTCTACCTGTAAAAACCATGCATGCAGAGGCACAGTGGCAGGACAGGGGAGGCAGGCAAAGGCCCGGGGGCCCCGGGCTGGGAGGGGGGTCCTGAGGGCGGCCGATTACATAGCACACTGCAACGACAAATCTGCTTTATTTGTGTATTATGTTATTCACAAAAGTGAAAATAATGGTCTTTTGTTTTTCTCATTGTTGATATTATTAATTTATTAATTTAAATAAAGGTAAGAGATGTGACCATGCC